TACTGTTACTACAACTACTATTACTACCGCTATTATGAAATCAGTAAGTGAGTGGGATTGGGTTATAGTTCCTATATCAGGGTTCTCTAATGTTTTTCCTCCAGTGAGCTACCTTTACAAAACAAAAATACCAGAGCATTCACACAAAATTTTGTATGTAACTGAACCACAGCAAAACTTGGATGAAGTGCAGTTAAATTAGTGTGACCAGTTGTCCCTATTTACCCGGGACAGTCCCAGTTTTGAGCCCTGTGTCCCGTGTCCCAGTAGATTTATCCAAAACCAGTAATTTGTCCCAGTTTTATACAAGAAATGTCCCAGATGTCCCTATTTTTGACCAATCCGATCCCTTCCAACAGTAAAGAGAGACACATTGCCATTTATTTCAGTAAAATACAAAACAGCTGCTTAAAAATGATCAAAACACAAAGAGAATGTGACTAGTCATGAATGGGCCGAGTGCAGAAAAGTTTTATTAACTTATTCAGCACAATATGTATAATTCAGAAATCCCTTGGTGAGCTACGTGGAAAGAGGTGGAGGGCTACTGGTAACTCCCGAGGTACAGGTTGGAGACTCCTGTCCTATATTATGCAAAATGGACTATTCTGAACTTCAAGCCATGTTAAAATGTAACCTCATCATAAATATACCTGGAGTTGTGTTAGAAGTAAAATCCTTTTCAAACAATTGCATTTCATTTTTTTTTTTACTGAGCATTTCTTTTTTATATCGTATTTAATTAAAAAGCTATTATTCTTGACCTATATTTAACCTAAAATTTAAAGTGAAGTGACAAATAAATCTTTCAATCTTGTACCATCCTCATTTCTACTCATTCAAAAGTGCATTATACCCTGTCTCATCTCCTCATCTCGTCTTTATTCCTCCACGGCTCCTCCGCCTTAGGCTCCTTCTGCAGGTTAATCAACACATATGTGCGCTGTGTTTAATGCTTAATGCCTCCTCCATGCTGTGATCCGTCTCCTCATCCCCCCGTAGAGTTACGCAGGATCACCTTGGCCCATCCTTCCTTGCCTCCTCGCTTCCTTTCCTAGCTCCTTCTCTTCTTTCTGTCACTTTTTCCTCCACCTACCTGCAGGAGAAAAACCAGCCGTGTGCCAGAAACCGGTGCCTTTGTGGAGATTGTTAGAATAGGACAGACCAAGGCGTGCAGGGGAGTCGCAATGTAATAAGAAGCGGTGAATGAGCAACAGTGTGTGGGGAAAGGGAGTGCTGTGTGACAGGATGAGGATGAGGGAGAGATGGAGTGATGAGATGGAGAGAGGGATGGAGCCTGAAGTTTATATTGTTAAATCTGTAATAATATCTTAATTTATGTGTCGCAACAATCCAGAAAGTCCAGAGAAATGTAGCGAATGAAGTCAAATGATTACGTTTGTCTGGAATGTTTGACAGTATGGTATTTAAACCTTTCTATCTTGGAGATCAAACCAGACCAGGTTAGAGGTCAGATCTGTGGAGAGGTGACCTCGCTCACAGTCAGAATACCTGTTTTTCAAGGTATTTTTGATCTGTAAAGCCACTTCTAATTGAATAAATCTAAGGCAGAGGTGTTTAATGTCATACTTTGAAACATTCCAGACAGAGGAATGGCATATCCATAGAAACCAAGCAAGCAGGTGACAGTCCCCTAACCAAAAGGCTACACAGTGCACCTTAAAAAATTTAGAGAGATCAGAAATATTAACTTAAAGAGGGGTATTTTACTTGTATGAGCTGTTAACTGATTCATCAGCCAGTTTCATTTTGTGGAAACCGTCTGACCTCACACCATTAGGACTCTTTTGCTCGATGGTAGGCGGGTACTTTTTATTTAACCAATCGCTGCTATAGGACTATGTGTAATGCGCTGCTAATGGGATTAACTGTTATATTAAGCTTTTCCCAAATCCCATAGGAAGAAGGGCAATAATGTCTTTGCCTTTGATAAAATTCACCAAACATTCTCTTTATTCCGGCTTTAAATCCTCGTTCTTGGGAATCGTTGCCAACACAGAATGTATGGCTCTTCCCTGATTGGCTGGTGCTCTTGCAAACCGTCTAGTGTATTCTAATTCCTGATCTAGTTGCCGGAGAGAAATGAAATTGAGTGGAGACACTAGGTGGCACCAGCCTGGCTAATTAACTGAGAATAAGAACTAAAAATGTGTAGAATTTGTGTGTTAAACGTGTGATTGAAACTAAGCACAACTCAAGTTATGTTTGTGACGAGGAAAGAGCATTATGACATAGATCAGAAAAAAGTCCATCTATTATCTACCATGAAAGAAGAACCAAAAGTGAGGCTCTAGTTTGTTTTGTTTTTTTTAATCAAAATTGTCTTAAGCTTCCATATTCACCCATTAAAAATCAGTTAATCAGTTATCAGAGCTCTGAGTTGATATGTCATAAATTGTAACTTCTTCTTAATGTTAATAATTCCAAACCAATTAATTTGTATTGATCTATTTTACAAACATTACATTTTATAATCTCCTCAGTACAGCATAAAGGTGCATTGTGTAACGTTTCGGCTGGACCGTCCATCAAATGCTTTTCTCCATGGAGATGTTATTGCTTTATCAGAAAAGTTTCACAGTATGGCATTCAACCTTTTGATCTTCATGGAGGCCAAACCAGACCAAATTACTGGGCAGATCTGTGGAGATTAGGGATGGGCATGATTCATCGATTAATCGATAATTGATCATTAAGAATTTCGTCGATTACGTTAATTTTAATCAACAAACCGAATGTAGGTTGCTGTGTGTAGCGTGACCAAACAGGGGTCTGTACATGTGTCTCTCTGCACTCAGAAGGAGCGAGCAAACACAAACATTCGGTCAGTCTGCAGCGTACCGAAGCACAAATGCGTATTTAACGATGACTTCTACAAGAAAGTCCACGCTTTCCGTTGCGTTCGGGACAAGTGTGAGTCCATGTGCACAGTGAACAAAGCAGGAACATATGTTTCTGTGTCCAGTGGGAAAAAGTTTTACCAGGTGAGAGTCGCGCAATGTCGATGACGAGTCCCCACCTCCCTCCCCCCGTACGGTGTCCTGGTTTTGACAAACGCAAATATGGTCACACTAACCTGTATTCCACTGAGTCATGTCTTTTAATCCGACAGAAATTGACCGCATCAGCGACACAAGAGCTGTAGTTTTATCTTCGCTTAGTTTATGCAAATTAGCGATGCGGTTTTAAGTTTCGTTTCTGTGAGAGTTGCGCAAAACTGAATTAAACACATTAATAATTAATAATGTCAAACGGGCTGATGTGGCTCTAGAGTGGTTACGGTTTATATGTCGTAAAGTTGAATTTATTTATGCAGATTAGTAGTGCAGCTAGTAATAATAATGATGATCATTTTAATATAAAAACGTTAATGATTAATCGATAATCGATCGTTAATTCTTCCGACGATCGATTAAGAAAATTTCATCGAATGCCCATCCCTAGTGGAGATACAACCCATCTTACAGTCAGAATGTCTGTTTTTCTCGGTATTTTTGAGCTATAAATCCACCTGTGATTGATTAAATGTAAGGTAGAGCTGTTTAATGTCACATTGCAGAACTTTCGAAGCAGAGCAATGACATATCCATAGAAACAGTAATGGACCCCCAACCAAAAAGTTACATAGTGCACCTTTTACTTGTTATAATGTTGTTACCTTCTCAAAAACATACTTGGAGTTGTGTTTCATTCACACATGTTTGAGTAACCCATCATCATTATTCTGTCTACATCCCTAAAGCTCAAAATGCTCTGTTCCACATTGTGATGTCATGAAGCAGGGGTTTTGCAAATTCACAGCTACCTTTTACCTTTAGATCAGTAGAGATCGGCATTTCCAGGGCTGAAATCATCTAAATAATGATTGTAGTGAAGGTGTATGAAGTTCCTGTGTCACCGTATGACATCACAAGGTGGAACAGAGTGTTGATGTTTAGCTGCCTTTTTAGGTTTTAGCAGATCAAACAGAGGATTTTTTTTTCTTTTTTCCAATATGTTTAATATTCTCAAAGCATTTTTCCAAGTTGTTCAAAGTTCCCAGTGCACATCATTGACCTTATACATCATCCTGTATCTATAGTACTAAATATTTTTGTTCCTCCTCTGTAGCCCAAAGTGATATAATAAGAGCAATAAAGCAGTTCAAGTCTCCAGAGGAAACATTTGATCTGATCACAACAATAAAAATGTTCCCCGGACGCCTCTCACACTGTTTACACGGCTCTTTATCGACGTGTGGAGTTACGTTTCTCGTGTTAAAAGATTAACAGAGCAGCAGATCTATGAAAAAAACTCCACGAGGCCCATGAATATATATGACACCAACATGTGGGGCACGTGAAAAGCATTTCAATCCATATTTGAACGTATAAATGAAAAGAAGTGTGCAAAAATACTTGTCTATAGATTTGATAGTGGTGATGTTAAAGAGGGGATGGAGCGGGTGAGGTGGCTGTTTGCTCTGCTGCTGTGTGAATGGGGTTAAAGATGGTTGTGGCTGAAACATGGTAGAGTGTACAGAGAGTTCATTTATTTTAAAACCTTTGCAAATATTTGGGAGACAAGCTATGAGTGGCTAATAATCTTCCTGGTTGAATTTACGATCCAGGTTAACACTTTGTTAGCATTAGGCTACGTTCAGACTGCAGCCTGAAATGACCCAAAACAGATTTTTTTCGCCCCTATGCTCCTGTATCTGATCTTTTAATGAGTCTGAACGACACAGATCCGATTTTTTTCAAATGCGACCCAGGCCACTTGGATATATGCTCCTAAAACCGATACATACCCGATCTTTTGACATGCGACTTCAGTCTGAACGGTCAGGTCGCATTCATCCCACCTATACGTCAGGCTCGGAGTCTCGTCAATGGAGGGAAAGCGAGGTTAGCGAGTTTATTAATATTTGGGGGATCGCTGTATTCAGGCCTAACTGGAGGAGTCTTATTGGAATGCGGTGGTTTTTGAAATGACTGAGCATGGCTACAGGCGGTTCTGGCTTCAATGTCAAAAAACAAAAAATAAAGAGCGTAAGGGCCAAATACACAAAGGCTCAAGACTCAAACAAATGAAGCGGCTGTGGGATGTGAAACCTGTGAATTTTACAAAAAAACTGGACAGTATTTTGGGAGACAAGCTCAGCGTTTAGGCTACTTCCGTAAACACTGAGCAAACTCGCTGCGTGTGACATCGTCGTGTTTTCCAATGCGCATGTGGGACACTTTTGGGGCATTTAAAGTTCACACTGGAGATCACATACAAATCACATTTAAATGGATATATGAACAACCTCTCAAAAAAATCCAAATTGAGCATCAAGTCCTTCAGTCTGAACATAGCCATAGATAGGACTGATAGATAGGCTTGGGTCACGACAGAAATCAGACATTTATTTTATTATCAAAAATTAATCTAAAAAGTGTCTTACCATTCCGTGTTTTTGAATTCAAGTTTTAAAATCCACTGTAGATGAGAGAGCCATTTTTCTCCAGGTTTTGCAAGTTATACAAATATCACATCAGGCCACGGAAGTTAATTATTTGTTTTTCGATTACACTTTTTTTTTTTTAGAGAAGCAGTTCATAGTTTGCAGCGACATCACACTGGAGGTGTTGTGCACATATCTGTATGGGGGAATTTACACCAGTTTCCATGGTGACACAATGCACACACACACATAAGCAAACACTGCCAAAAATAAATAAATAAATCAACAAAAAGGTGAGCGTGACTAACTGAAAAACTCGCTTGTATATTTGAGAGTGTCTTGTTTAAGGGTCCACTAAACACCAAAATCACTTTTTTTCTACTGATTAACTGTAAATGGGTCTAAAATAGAAGTGTATACCTATCCCTGGACTTATTTTGGCATTTTAGTGCGTACTTGTTAAAAATCAGACTTTTGGGTCATAAGCCTGTTCCGGCCTTTTTAGGATCAACTATGGCCACTACATTTGAATTTTCAGGTTGGACTAACGGCCCCTAATGAGTCAGATGCAGGTTATTACGTGACGAGCACAACCACTGGCGTCTACGGGCGGTACGTGAGGAGCCCCTCTCAGCCCCGCCGCTACCTGGCACTGCTGGTCACCGCGATGTCCCGCCGTGTCTGGAGAAAAGAGAAATGGTGTAATCCAAGCACAAATGTCCGCTCTGTTTCAAGGTCTGGAGCACACCGGTTTTGGTGTTGGATGTCTGTCGGCTGTCAGTCATCTCTCCAAGAGCTCACCCCACACCTGCTCCCCCCAAACCGCCCACTCTGGAGGATTTTTCAGATTTTGCTTACAGGCTGAGTAAAGCTTCGAGGCGGTGTTTAACGGCTCTTTAACAGCACAAATCAGCTCACCTATTGTAGTCTGAACTAAGTCAGTTTTTAATGGTCAGATTGTGTTAAAATAAAGATGATATTAAAGTCTAACTTGAGTAACAGTTTCAGAGCATCACACTGCCAGGGAATGTTGATGACATCGCAATATATTTCAAATCTCGATTCTACATTTCAGTCCCTCACCTGAATTGTTCCTTATCTTGCACTACAGTTACAAATGTTTCATGTTTAATGGCAAACTACAGAACATGTCAGTCAAAGCAATTACATGTCCAGCTTGAACCCTCCACCAGAAAAGCTACAAAAAGTTACGTAGTCCACCTTTAATGCCAAGATCACACGACCATCCAACTAATATTAATAATTCATGTATCATTTGTTATGTTCTTTATTGACTTCCATGTCCTTTGTGTTTCCAGCCGGGCCATGTGAAGTTGTCCAAACCTGTGGCTTTGTGGACCGTACAGGACGTGTGCAAATGGCTGAAGAAGCACTGTCCCAATCAGCACCAGATTTACAGTGACGCCTTCAAACAGCACGACATCACAGGTACACGAGCTCCTCCATGTAATGTTCTCAAGGCTAAGGAGGGCACAGGGAAGTCAGTTAGGAGCTGGTTATGTGATATCAGCAGGATACCGTCTACCTGAAGGTAACTGTGTCAAGTAGAAGTTTTGAAAAGTTTTTCAAAAGTGTTGGATAGCACATAGGAAAATACTGATAGACGTGAACCTTATAATAAACATGTCTACATATATATTTTAATTAGAGTTGGAACAATTATCATTTTCATGTTTAAAAGGCCCATATTCACAATTTGAATTTACCTGGAGCTGTGTTTTGTTTCATTCACACATGTCTAACTCACAAATCCCGCACATTTAGGCTGAGTTTCTCTCTCAAACAGAAAACTCTGTTTGACAATATGACATAACTCTTGTTATGTCATATTGCAACACAGGAAGTGCTCCAGTATGTTTTTAAACGCCATACACCTTCACTAGAATCATGTGGATGATTTCACCCCTGGAATTGCTTACTCTACTGAATCTCTACTGAACTAAAGGTAAAAGGAAGCTGAAAACTACCACTACATGACATCACAATGTGGAACAGAGCATTTTGAGTTATGGTGATAATAGCAGACTAATAATAATAATAATACATCTTTATTTATACTGCACTTTTAAAAATGTTTTCAAAGTGCTGTACAAGCAGCAAAGAACAATATAGAAAGAATAAAACTAGCATGCAGAAGGCATACAAAAACAGACAAAGATGCAAACAATCCAATAAATTGTAAACAATAAATAAATAGAAAGGAATAGAATAAAAATAAATAAGTGTAAAAAAACCCTCAGTCGTCCATAGAATCCATGGGAAAGGAGAAATTCAGTTTGTCACCTGGACAGAAGTTTATTTTATCAAATACGTTTAGCAGCTCATCCAAGCTGCTTCTTCAGTTCTTCAGGAATAAAATCGAGCTAAAGCATTAGTTTTATATAGAGCTTTTCCAGACGCTCAAAGTCTCTTTACAGTTTGGTGCATTATTCATTCACTCTGCACTCAGCACCGGTCCTGGGACTAGTGATGTTACGAGATGTGCCGACGCTTCGAAGCGTGTGCCGAGTAATCCAGGAAGTCTTTGGTGAAGCTCGTATCGAGGCTTGTATCTGTGACGTATGTGGTGACGGTCGAAGCCTCATGAACCGCCCGTACCACGTGACTGGTTCAGGAAGTGTTTGCGGATTTGGTGTGATTCGAAACATAAGGGCCAAAGAAACGCAAGAGATTCGCCCAATATATTTTGTGGTTTTGGGTTATTGCGAGTTTGGTACGTTCTATTTGAGATTCTTCTTCTTTTTTTTTTTTTTTTTTTTTGCGATGGAGCCAGCAAGTGACTTTTCTCTGCACGCCTGCTTCATCTGTGCACTGTGAAAGTTTTTTTTTTTTTTCAAAAGCAGGGGAAATACTCTGTAAAAAAAATAAATAAAGAAATCGTCTGAGTCCAAATACTGTGGAGAAATCGATATTTTTATATAAAAATGAATAAAATGACCATATTTTGCCATCCTTATTGTGGCACAAGCACAGACATAAATTAGTAACACAAACACAGTCACATTACAGCCCTATCTCCAATTTGTTCCTACTTTTTCTTTTAACCTGACCATTATATCATGAACACAGACTCCAGGTTAATACATTCACACTTTAAATATTTTAATGTTTGTGATTTCAACATAATCATTCATTTATTCAGTATAAATTTTTCCATCAGAACCTCGATGATCATGTTGAATGTTCTATTATCACTCTGCCTGTTATACATTTTTTGGTCACTTGATGGCGCAGTAGAGCAAATGAAGCACCTCGAAGCATTAGCTTCAGTGCTTCATGAGGCTTCATCTCACCATCACTCCCTGGGACAGACCGTCAGAAAAGAGGCTGCCAATCTCGCTACGAACACCACCAACACTCACACCATGCTCATACTAGGCACTGTGAGTGAAGCGTCTTGCCTAATGACACAACATTTTTTTGCCATTGGCGCCCCACTGTAGCACCAGATTTTCTCAGCGGTCTCCTGTCCAGGTACTACCCAGGCCTGGTCCTGCTTATCTTCTGAAATCTGACAAAATCAGGCTTTGACAAGTAAAGTATTACTCAAATGTGTGAATGAAACAAAACACAACTCCAGGTTTGTTTTTGATGAATAAACAATTATAACAGTGCTCAGGAAGTAGCTTATATGTGCCCTTTGAATCATTTCAGTTAAATATGTAATAAGTGTTTCTATGCAACACACGTCCCAACAGTATTCACTTCGGTCCACTAGATTCCTTGTTGCTTTTCCACCCATTCCCGCGCCTTGACCCTGACCCCCCCGCGCCCTCTCCTGCCCCCCCACCTGTCGGCCCGTCCCTCCACCTGCGTTCGTTGCCCCTGACAACCGCTTCCATGTCAATCACACCCTAATGAGGCGGCACAAGGTCACCCTGCGCTCACCCTCCTCTCTCCGCTCCCAGGTCCAACCAGCAGCGAGGGCTAATTACCCCTCGCTGCCTGGGCTCCTGGAGCATGTCTGATTGTGCTAATATGTTTATGTATGGGAGCGCAGGCCCCACTCCGCTGGAACTGCTGACCAAGGAGAGGGAGACGGAGAGAAAGTACGAGCGAAGGAGAGAGATAGAGAGAGAGTGGGCGAGAGAAAGTGAAATGGGATAGAGAGAGAGCTCAGGGAGGGAGAGATCCAGTGCTGAGCGGAGGGAGGGGGGATGGAGAAAGACGGGGAAGGTGGGAAGTGAAAGTTGTATAGCTGTGGAGTTAGGCAGAAGGAAAGAGAGAATGATGCAGAGAGGGAAAGCAAAAGAGAGAACACACTCTGAACCTCTGGCATTGATTGAGAGGCAGATGGAGAGAGAGAGAGAGAGAGAGAGCAAGAAGAAGGGAGTAGAAGAGAGAGGGAGGTGGATGGGGAAAGTTAGAGAAAAGAAAGAAAAAGAGGAGAGAGAAGAGAGAGACTGGGAGGGGAAAGAGAGAGACTGGGAGGGGGGAGAGAGAGAGACAGAGAAAGAGAGAGATTAGAAGGGGAAAGAGAGAGAGAGCAAGGAGGGAGGGGAAGAGAGTTGATGGATGGGGAGAATTAGAGAAAAGAGAGAGAGGAGAGAGAGATTGGGAGGGGAAAGAGAGAGAGAGTTTGGGATGGGAGAGCAAGAAGGAGGGAGAAGAAAGATGGGGATGGATGGGGAGAGTTACAAAAAATAGAGAGAGGCGAGAGAAGAGAGAGATTGGGAAGGAAAGACACAGGTGAAGAGAGGTAGAGGAACAAAGTAACAATCGTGGCACTGACCAGAGAGAGAAAGAGAGAAAGTGAGATGGCGAGAGAGACAGACAAAGGAAGTGAGGAAGAGATGTGTACTCTCCTGACACTGGTTGATCGAAGAAGGAAAAGGGAGAGAGAAAGAGAGGGATGGAGAGAGAGACCGACAAAGGAAGAGAGGAAAAGGTGTGTACCCTCCTGGCACTGGTTGACCGGAGTCAGGAGGAGGAGAGAGAGACAGAGAAAGAGATGGAAAGACAGAGAGATGTGTGGGTCGTAGATGGAGAAGTTAATGGCGTGTCTGTGGTAACGATGACTGACAGAATGACTCATTGTTTAGTGTCTGAGTTGAGTTGTTGTGTGTCAGGAAAGAGACGGAAAAAATAGCATCTTTTGTGTTCCAACTGAAGCATGCAGGTTTTATTGACTGACCATGTATACATGTGTGTGTGTGTGTATATAATATATATATATATATATATATATATATATATATATATATATATATATTTTTTATTTTTTTTTACAGTTAGGCTATTTGTCATATGAAGTACAACAAGATGTGCTCAGTCTAATCACTTTTGTACTTTCATTTCCGTGAGAATATTTTACTTGCAAACATTTGTCCTGTTGACAAATTGAATTTCTTCCTTTGCCATAGATTCTACCTGGAAGACTGAGGGACTGTACACATAAATCACACTTTATTTTACCATTTAGACCAGGGGTGTCAAACTCAAATTCACAGAGGGCCAAAATTAAAAACTGGGACTAAGTTGTGGGCCAAACTAAATATTTACTGAAACATTTCAACAACATCTGCATGTTTTTTCTTCTTTCGAGATATGTAATGTTCAGAGTGTAAAATTTGCAGTGAAAAAAATTCACAGGAAAGATCCAAGATGCCAAGGCAGAAGCAATCAAACATCTCATCTGTGGGCGGGGTTTTCACTTAAAAAAATAAGAGATGAGGTTTTGATGAGGCTAATTCTGACCAATCAGATCGCTTCATTGCACTATTTCCTGTTTGTTACTAAGTTGTACACTAAGTTAAGTATCGGATCACTTTGGCTCAATTGCTTCTGCCTTCTCTTGTGAAACTTTTCACTGAGAATTTTGCACTCTGAATTTTGACTGTTGAATATGAGGACTTCAAAATACCTGAGCTGAATATTTAAAAAGTGAAATATTTATTTTAAATTTGATACATATTGAAAAAGTATGTTTAAAATTTCAGCAACTAAAATTCTGAATAAAAATAAAAAATAAAGCATCTTTTTTCATTTTTTCTGTCTTCCTACCGGTGGAGGCAGGACGACAGCACCATCTGCAGTCCGACTTCCTCAGGACAGTATCTCGTATTTCGATTGCCTCTTTAATCCAGCGACAGTGTTTGTTTTACTCTGTCCCAAAAAAACAAACGTCGCTGGATGAAAGAGGCAATCGAAATACGGAAACGTGCCTATGGAACTGTAAACCGGGACGAGGGTGCTTTTTTACTCTCACACACCTGGGATACTGTCCTGAGGAAGTCGGACTGTAGATGGCGCCAAAACCTGTATAAATCAGCTAACTCGCAACATGACTTGACCATTCTGAGGAAGACCGCTAGTGAGCATTCAAAATTGTCAGGTCTGAAAAAAGAACTCATTAACATAAATTATCTGAAGACCAAATGTTCCTCATTGGACTATTTTTTTTTTTTTTCAGAGTTTAAAGATTCAAA